GGGCCAGCCCCAGGGTGAGCGTCTCCAGCTCCTGCTGCGCCGCAGCCACGAGGCCAAAAGCTGTGCCTATTGCCCCTACAGCCGCTTCCCGGTGGGCGCTGCACTGCTCACTGCCGGGGGGCAGATCTTCTCCGGTAAGCCTGGGCCGTGAGATCCCCCTCGGGGGTTTTGGGGAGCCCCTGGAGGTCTTTTAGACATGCTTTGGGGTGTAGCAGAGTCGACCTGGGGTGCTGGGGCTGTGTGTCCTCCCCCCACTGCCTCTTGGCAGAGTCCAGCTCTGAGCGAGCCAAAGATCACGGCAGGTGGGAAGGTCCAGGAAAGAAATAAGGCAAGCAGGGAAAATGGCTTTTCTTGGCAAGTTCCCTAATAAAAACCCCTGGTGGGGTTTTTTGGGAGGGGGCTGATGTTGGGGTGTTCCCTGCAGGGTGTAACGTGGAGAATGCCTGCTACAGCCTGGGGGTGTGTGCTGAGCGCACTGCCATCCAGAAAGCCATCTCCGAGGGGCACACCAGCTTCAAGGCCATGGCCATTGCCAGGTAAGGCTGCTCCAAGGGTTGGAAGGGAGAGGGACGGGATGGGGGGCCAGTGGGAAACCCTCCCAGTGCACTCATGGGGCAGTTTGTGCTGCAGCAGCCCCAGTGTTGTGGGGGGAAAGGAAGTTTTTGCATGTCTTTTTCGAAGGAATTGAGGGGCAAATCTGCTGTGGTTCTGTATTTGTTGGTGCACGAAGGTCTTCTGTAGGTGTTCCCTCCTCCTCTGATCTCAGGACTGAGCTCTGTGCCCTTCTCTTTTGGCAGTGACATGGGGGACGACTTCATCACGCCCTGTGGTGCCTGCAGACAAGTGATGAGAGAGGTGACAGCTCACTTGGAGGCTCTGTGTCTCATCCACTGACCCCAGACCTCTCCTCCTGAAGCACCTGGAGGTGCCAAGGAGGGTGCAATCCCTCGTCCCCAGCCTCAGCACTGGCTCCAGGCTCCTCAAACTGCATTATCCACTGGGAAATGGGTATTCCTCTCTGTCCCCCAGCAGTGGGTGCTCAGTGGGAATCCATTAGCTTGACCTCCCCAAGGGGTTTTACCCCTCCAGGTGCAGAGGTTTGCCCTGGAGTAATTGCTCCAGCTCTGGCAAGCCTGAAAATGGGGGTTTTCCTGCAAAAGCTGAACTCCCTACAGATCCCATCCTGTTCTTGCTTCCCTCCTTCCCACAGGCACCTCAGCACCCACAGCCCATTTTTGGGTGGTTAATATTTACTGGGTCATGGGGCTTGGCTAGAGGGCTGGATTCAGCAGGTTTGGAGGCACCAGGACTCACCCTGGGAGGGGAAAATGTGGAGGATCTGAGCCTGAAATATCCTCTGGGGGAGGTGATACTGATAAGCTGAACAAAAATACATGCAATAGAGGGGGATGCTCCCTGTGGACCTGAAAGAAAAGGGATTAGATGAGTAACTTAGGGAAGAAGTGCAGGTTTTTCTCCCTTCTTCTTCTCCCTTATCAGGCCCTTTTCCCCACTTTTCTCCTGCAGTTTGGCACAGACTGGGATGTCTACCTGACCAAAGCAGATGGCACCTACATTGTCAAGAGGCTGGAGGAGCTGCTGCCACTCTCCTTTGGTCCTGAGGACCTGAAGAAGGTGTGAACAATGTGGCCACCACCAGCCTTTGTCCTTGGGCAGCAGAGGAGGATGGTTCCCCAATTTCCTTGGCGTGTAAGAGGCATTTTGGGGACAACATGAGTTTATAGTCCTCAGTTACCCATTCCTCTGGCTCAGATTCTGATTCAGCATTGATTCACAGATGCCAGCTCCACTTTGCCCTGGGGAAATGGCAAAATCAAGTCTTAGAAATTCCCTGTTTTTAGTTAAAAAAATGTCCAGATATTGCCATAGGCAAGGGATTAGTTCACAGATGGAGAAGGGTTGATGCACAGCTCAAGTTTGGGCTTGATGGTACAGAAACCACTCCTAAAAAATGCAAAATCATTGCTTGGGAAAATGCTGGATATTCCAGCTCTAAAGAGAAGTGAAAGCAAAAAGGGAAAGTTCCATCAGCCCCAGCAGTAATTAATGATCCAATCCAGATTAGGTGGACTGCTGAAACAGGAAGGTTATCGCTCTGAGCGTGTCCTTTGCTCATTTCTCTCCAGCTTGTTTTCCTTGCTTTTATGGGGATGAACAGGACAAGGAGTTTTTGAGGACTTCTGGAGGGTTTTTTCCCCCTCCAGAGTAAAGCCATTTGCTGATTGTATTATTGATTTAATTATGCACAATGATAAATGAATGTGTTATATTTCCCAAACAGCATTGGGTTGGGCATTTGTGCCTATACCCACATGAAATAAAAGCAGTTCTGGTTTATCTCCTGCAATTGTAGCAAGCAATGAATGACAGGGAATGGGGAGCAATGTCCTGGTGCTGTCTTGCTGCCAGGCAGAGCTGGAGGGTGCTGGATGTGCCATGAGAACCTCATAAAGTTCAACAAAGCCAAGTGCTGGTGCTGCACCTGGGTTGGGGCAATCCCCAGTATCCATACAGGCTGGGGGTGAGAAGATGGAATGCTGCTGGAGCAAGTCCAGAGAAAGGCCATGCAGATACTCCGAGGGCTGGAGCACCTCTGCTCTGGAGCCAGGCTAGGAGAGCTGGGGGTGTTCAGCCTGGGGAAGAGAAGGCTCCAGGGAGACCTTAGAGCCCCTTCCAGTGCCTAAAGGGGCTCCAAGGGAGCTGGAGAGGGACATGGGACAAGGGCCTGGAGTAACAGGACCAGGGGGTATGGCTTTAAACTAAAAGAGGGTAGTTCTAAAGGAAGAAGTTTCTTACAACAAGGGTGGTGAGGCACTGGTACAGTGGCACACTGGAAGTGTTCAAGGCCAGGCTGGATGGGGCTTGGAGCAACCTGGGGTAGTGGAAGGTGTCCCTGCCCATGGCAGGGGGTGGAACAAGATGGACTTTAAGGCCTCTTCCAACCCAAACCAGTCTGTGATTCCCTGAGTGCACTGGGCTGTGCCCAGGGCAGTCCCATGCCCTGCTCCATGCCCTGCTCCATGCCCTGCTGAGCACAAGGCAGACCCAGCTGTGCCCTGACCCTGCATTGCACAAGGCTGTATCTTGGCTGCACCCTGCCCAGCTCCATGCTCCACTCCATGCCCTGTTCTAGCCTAATTTCATGACCCTCTCCATCCCCATTCCACACTTCACACCCCACTCCATGCTCCTCTCCATGTCCCCTTCCAGCCCCTCTCCATGCCCCATTCCATGCCCCATTCCACACTTCACACCCTGCACTATGCCCACGGCATGCCCTTCTCCATGTCCCATTCTAGCCCCACTCCTTGCCCCATTCCGTGCCCCGTTCCATACCCCGTTACACACTCCATGTTCCTCTCTCCATGTCCTGTTCTAGTCCTGCTCCATCGTCATTTCACACTTCACACCCCACTCCATGCTCCTCTCCATGTCCCATTCTATCCCCTCTCTATGCCCCCATGTCCCATTCCAAGCCCTATTCCATGCCCTGTTCTAACCTCATTCCATGCCCCTCTCCATGTCCCATTCCTGTCCCATTCCATGCCCCCTCTATGTCCCATCCCATGTCCCTCTCCATGTCCCATTCCATGTCCCATTCCATGCCCCATTCCATGTCCCTCTCCATGTCCCATCCCATGTCCCATTCTATGCCCCATTCCATGCCCCTCTCCATGCCTCATTCCATGCCCCATTCCATGTCCCTCTCCATGTCCCATTCCATGTCCCATTCCATGCCCCATTCCATGTCCCATTCCATGACCCCTCTCCATGTCCCATCCCATGTCCCCTCCATGTCCCATCCCATGTCCCATTCTATGCCCCATTCCATGCCCCTCTCCATGCCTCATTCCATGCCCCATTCCATGTCCCTCTCCATGTCCCATCCCACCCTTCCATGCCCCCTCCCAGTCCCATCCCATGTCCCATTCCATGTCCCTCTCCATGTCCCATCCCATGCCCCATTCCATGTCCCATTCTATGCCCCATCCCACCCACTCTCCACTCCTCTCTTCCCTTCCCCTCTCCCGTCCCGTTCCCC